TGGAATATGTGGGACTGGTTTTGCCACCATGACAATGCATTTGGTCATGCAGCCATCTCAGTGTGCCAGTTTTTGGCAAAAAACAGCATGCCTTTCTTGCTCCCACGCAATTTACCTGGCCTCGCTCTGTGTGACTTCTTTTTTGTTTCTGTGAATGAAGAGGAACATGAAAGGGCAGTGTTTGGCGACATAGAAGAGATGAAGAAGAAATCAAGGTAGGTGCTGTCAGCCATCCGAAGAGATGAGTTTGAAAAATGTTTCCAAGAATGGAATCACAGATTTGAGAAATGTGTTCAGTGTAATGGAGGTAACTTTGAAAATGATAAGGCTTTTTTTTGTGTGTGAAAAAAATTAAATACACCGCTTTGACAAAAAATTCTGGTGTTTGGAGGGTACCCCCTTGGATCCACCTCCAGGGCACCTAACAACAACAGCTATATTCTCTTTTCCCATAACCCATTTTGGGATGCGTTGTAGATTCTAGTCTTCGTTATGATCCCATTTTGGAGGGAGATCCCTGTTAAAGAATTCGAGAGGGATGTATTGTTAGAACAGACGTATCTGAGACTTTCACTATGTCCTTACTATTTGTTTTCCCTTGGGGTATGGTCGTCTGAAGGATTAAGATCCATGCATCCATGAACTCTTCTCTTTTGTGACCTCTATTTCCTGACTGAGTATTGGATGAAGCGAGAAAATCTGCTTTGACTTTCAGATCTTTTTGGTTTCTGGCTTTGTAATTGGTTCCCCCCACCCCACTGGTCCTGAAGGGAAAATCCACCCTGGATTCCCTGGATTTCCAGTTCCTATCTGTACCAGTGTACATCATCTGGTCTAGCTAGATTTGTAAGGTAGAATTGGGATCATGATAGTGGAGGGGGTGAGGAGGAAGAATTTAGTAACTAGAGGAAAGTTGTATGTTTCATCATTGCTACACTGCACCCTGACTGCTTCATCTCCTCCCCGCGACCCTTCTGTAAGGGGATGTCCAATTGCCTACAGATGGGTTTTTCGTCTCCATTCCACACTCCCCCTCATTCACAGTGATATGATTTTTTGTTCTGATACCTGATCCCTTTGACACCGCATGATCACACAGGCTGGTGTGCTTCTTCCATGTGAGCTTTGTTGCTTCTGAGCTAGTTTGGCTGCTTGTTTACCTTCAAGCCTTTAAGACACCAGATGCTATATCTTTAGATAGCCAGGAACCATCAGCTTTCTTCACCACATTTGCTTATGTACCAATTTGTCTTCGGGAAGGTGAGAATCATGGAATGCCAGTTTACTAGAACAAAGTGTTCTTGCATTAAGGGAGTACTTGAGTAGAAGCCCAATGTCCATCTACTACTTTAATACTAAACCTATAAATATATGCACATAGATCTATTTCCCCATCCTCATATATAAATATATTTACATATGTACATGCCTGTTTTTAGACTGCTATAAATGCTCTTTGCCTCCTAGCTCTTTTCTCTATTTCCTTTTACTTTCCTCTTGTCCCACTATTATGTTCATCCTTCACTAGGGTTTCAGTAATTCCTCTCGGTTACATTACCCTTGGTCTCACACTACCAGGCCTCATATACCGTCCTCACCACCAATTTGGATCACTGGCTGTTTCCTTGTCCCTAAGTTTGTTAACACCACTTCCTTTCCACCCACCTCCCCTTCTCCCATGTCCCCCCAGAACTGTTGGTCCTGTTGTTTTCTCCTCCAGATTGTTCATCCAACCTATCTTATTTAGACAGACCTGTGGAGATAATAACATGCACAAAAACAAGAGAGAACAAAACCAAGCAACAAAATAAAATAAAATAAAGCAACAACAAGCCAATCACACACACAAAAAAACAAAACAAAAGACAACAACAAAAAAGAAAAACTGTAGTTAGTTGAAGGACTGTTTGCTGGCCTTCAGGAGTGTTTTCTGGTCAAGTCTGATGGGGTGCCAATCTTTGGCCCCAAAGTCTATTTTTGGTATTCCACGGGGACTTCGTTGCTCTGTTCCCCTTGCTGTTCTGTTGCACGTCCTTAGTGTTTTGCCTCAGGTATGGTGGGATCAGATTGGGCGGAATTCCCACACTGTGTCTCTAGTGTTGTACCCTGTAGGGATATGGGTCAGTGAGGGATATCGTGTCTTATAGTGAGGCCAGCAAGTGGTCTCCTCTGTGGATTGACTGCTCTGAGCAGGAATATTGTCCTCAAGGCTTGGTGGGCCAGGATGTGCTCTACTCTCTCTTCCTCCCCCTTCATTTGCATCAGACATGTCCCTCTCCCTGAGCTGCAGATTCAGTGCTGTCCTCTGAAATAAATTCTTCTGGGGGGAGGGGCAGGTGTCAACATAGTTGGGATTGGGGCCGGCCCCTCAGACCTTTCCACTGGTTCCCTACTCCATGCCGGCGTGTTGCATTCACATCTTGGAGCAACGGGTTGAGGTCTGGTCCCTCTTACCCTGTGTAGATATAAACAATACCTGCCCCTTTCATGGGTTAGTGCCCTGTGCCCCCATTATCCATTTCTTTTTTATTTTTTTCCCTTTCCCCCACCTTCCTTTTTAGTTGGCTACCATATGTATCCCTGGATTTGGTCTGATCCCTGCCATACTACCTGGTCCTCACCTCAGGAATGTTTGTGTACAGTAACTTTTTCCCTATGCCCCTTTTGCGATCTTCTTTTAAAGCTTACCTGAGTGTTGATCTTAAGCCTCTGTGCCATCTCCAAATGGTCCTGGCTCCAGCCAAGACAGTGGTGGGGCCAAGATCAAGCCCTAGTCATTCTCCCTGTGGTAATCCAAAGGCTCCCAGCCCAGCAAAACCTTGTGACTACTTATCTTTATGATGCTCCTCCTGTGATCCAGCATTGCTGAATTTCCCTCTTAGTGACTCTCCTGGGCTGATTATTGCAAAATCCCTTTGGTATGTGTTACTCAGTCACCATCTTCCCGGAAGTCCCCTAATAATACATTTTTAAAAAAGAGTTAAAATTCAGGTAAATTGATGAACTAAGCAAAAATACACATCTTTGATTAATAATCAAAAAGAAAATGATGGTCTTAAGTGGAGTTTTCTGGTTTTAAATGAGAAAAGTTTTGGATAATCCAGCCCCTTTTCTCTCGAAGAATTTTGAAGTGTACAAAGCAAAGCATATAAAACCTTTTGGCCATGTGTGTCCATGCATTTTGAATGCATTATGAAGTTATAAAGTATATCTGATCAATGAGATAATGCTATTTAGATATAAATAACCTTGTTATATGCATGGGAAACTGTACACATTGATTTTCAGAAAGATAGAGGAGAATTAGCAACAACTACCTCTAAGTTACTCTTTTACTCTCCCTTTTTAGGTTTTATTCTCCATCATTAAGTCCATTCATATTTTTCACTCTATGTTCTCCTCCATATATGACTATTAGCTCTGAAAATTTATATCATATATGACTTTTATTTGCTCTGAAAATTTTCACTAACCCAAGGTATAGTGGACATCTACTTAAGGTGAAGAAATTAATCACGTCTATTTATATTGCCTCTAAATTCAGGGCTTGTCCTTGTTTCTATGTGTAAACACTCTTAATGTCTTTGTCAGAAGATCCCCAACATTTAAAAGGCTGTTCCATTTTTTTAAACTTATATCATATATCAGGATGAACTGTTGTGTTGTTAAGTGGATTTCAGTTAGCCCCGACTCAGTCACCCTATGTATTATAACAAGAAATGCTCCCCTATTCTGCACTAACTTCATAATTGGGGTTATGTTTGAACCCATTGTTGTAGCCATAGTAACAATTCATCTCATCAATGCTCCTCTTCATTTTTGCTGACCCTCTACTTTACCAAGCATGATGTCCTTGGGCCTGTATTTTCCTGATAAGTTGTTCAAAGTACTTGAGTTAAAGTGTCATGTGAAGCATCCAATCTGCTGACTGTCCTTCCTTAAAGACAGATGTGCATTTTGACAGTAACCTTTCCAATAACAGTCTTTTGCTTGTTATTCTGTCAGTCTATGATACTTTCATTATCCTTCACTAACACCATAATTCAAATGCATTGATTCTTCTGTGGTCTTCCTTATTAATTGCCCAGCTTCCAAATGCATATGAGATGACTGAAAATATCACAGTTTAGGGGAAGTGCACCTTAGTCCTCAAAGTGACATCTTTGCTCTTCGACCCTTACTCTTACGCTTAAACACACCTAAACACTAAAATATGTTTTGTGCATCAGTGAAATATATCTAAATTTCCCAGTGAAATGTGCTTTTTCTATGATTGATGC